AAGATTTACGCCCTCAAGTGCGGTAGGTAAATCCAGCAATTAACAAGATACTGGTTCCCTTAAAATGGCAATGAATCCTTTGGGATATACGATAAGGCTAACACTATTCATAGTCAGATGCGGCGAAATGGATTCCATTGATTAAAAAAATGTGCAAATGCGGAAATGCAACCGTTGGGAAACTCAAATAGCTCATTAAAAGCTAAGTAGAAAATGAAAATGTCAACTCCTTAACACTATATAAACAACACCTGGACAAGGAAAATAATATATCTTTACATTATAATTCCTTTTCAAATCCTCTATTATTCCAAGAATATTCAATTGCCGGAAATGGCTGATATTGAAGGATCTCCAGGAAGCTCCATGCACGGAGTCACGGGCCGAGAACCTGTTCTCGCCTTCTCCGTAGCTTCACCAATAGTCCCGACTGATACCACGGCGAAATTTGACCTGCCTGTGGATTCAGAACATAAAGCGAAGAAATTTAAGCTCTTTTCCTTTGCTAATCCTCACATGAGAACGTTCCATCTTTCCTGGATTTCGTTTTTCACCTGTTTTGTGTCCACTTTTGCCGCTGCCCCGCTTGTTCCGATTATCCGGGACAATCTGAATCTCAAGAAGATTGATATCGGAAATGCCGGGGTGGCTTCTGTTTCAGGAAGTATATTTTCCAGGCTTGCAATGGGGGCTGTTTGTGATCTACTCGGGCCGCGATACGGCTGCGCATTTGTCATCATGCTCTGTGCTCCGACGGTTTTCTGCATGTCGTTTGTGTCCGATGCCGCCGGATATATCGCAGTCAGGTTTATGATTGGATTTTCCCTGGCGACGTTCGTCTCGTGCCAGTACTGGATGAGCACAATGTTTAATTCTAAGATTATTGGGGTTGTCAACGGAACAGCCGCCGGATGGGGGAACATGGGTGGCGGCGCCACCCAGCTTCTCATGCCAGTGCTTTACGAGATAATTCATAAGGCTGGAGCAACTCCATTCACGGCCTGGAGGATTGCGTTCTTCATTCCAGGATGGCTTCATGTGATTATGGGTGTTTTGGTTTTGACTCTTGGCCAAGATTTGCCTGATGGAAATCTTGGTGCCCTACAGAAGAAGGGCGATGTTGCAAAAGATAAATTCGGCCAGGTCAGTGACAATAGTCCTCCCTCTTTCCCTAGACCCATTTTTTAACCTCTCTTTTTGTTATTACATTTATTTTATAATATTTATTACGATCGAATCAACAAAATTCTGGATTTGACTAATTGGAAATATGTCTATCTTGAATATTCAGATACTATGGTATGCTGTCACAAATTACAGAACATGGATCTTCGTACTTCTCTATGGATTTTCTATGGGAGTTGAATTATCAACCGACAATGTGATTGCGGAATATTTTTATGACAGGTTAATTCTTTTTCTTTTTTACTATACAACAAACCATTTCCATGATGTGCAATAAGTAAAATACTCTTTTTTAAAATGATGGAAAATGTTGTATAACAAATAAATTAATGATTATATTAATAATAAAAGAGTTATTTAAAATTAATTAAATGTTAAAAAATAAGCACAATTAGTCAAACTAAACTTGTAGCTAGATGCCTAATCCCACCTAATAAAATAATTAACAAAAATATCTATCACTTGTTAATTTTTTTTAGTGAAGTGGTTAATTGAAGAACACTAGCTAGTAATTAATTGCCTTCAAAATAATCCCAGGTCAAGCTCCTACATTTTTTTTAAAACACATTTTTCTCTAAACTCGTGTTCATCCACACATTTTCCGACAATAAAATAATTTTAAACGTAGACGTATAACATTTTCTTATCTTTTAATCATACTTCCTAAAAAAAAATCACTTTTCAAATAATCTATTTTTAAAAAATCTACTTCAAACATCTCCAAATATACAATTTCAACCTTTTCTGTTGAAAGTTTCTTCACATTTTGGTGAAGTTTTCGAATTTTATTGAATTAAAAAAATCTAGGAACAAAGCGCTTTAATAGTTCTGAAAGAGCTTGTCCTCTAGCCTTTTTGAAGTTTTGTTGCATCGTATCAACTAGTAAAACATTATCTAACACTGATTTCCACATGGTGTACAGATTTGATCTAAAGCTTCATACTGCTGGAATCATAGCTGCCACTTTTGGTATGGCTAATCTCTTAGCTCGCCCATTTGGTGGATTTGCTTCTGATTTTTCAGCAAAAAAATTCGGGATGAGAGGGAGACTATGGACCCTTTGGATCTTACAAACCCTAGGAGGAGTTTTCTGCATTCTTCTCGGCCGCGCTAATTCGCTTCCCCTCGCCGTAACTAACATGATTATATTCTCCGTCGGAGCACAAGCTGCTTGCGGTGCAACTTTTGGAATTATTCCTTTCGTTTCTCGACGATCACTCGGCATAATCTCCGGCCTTACAGGTGCCGGAGGCAACTTCGGCTCCGGTTTAACTCAACTGATTTTCTTCACCAGTTCGACATACTCCACTGCAACTGGGTTAACTTACATGGGAATCATGATTTGTGCCTGTACTCTTCCGGTGACCTTGGTGCATTTCCCGCAGTGGGGGAGTATGTTCCTACCACCGACGAAAGATGTTGTCAAGGGGAGCGAAGAACATTACTACGCAGCCGAGTGGAACGAAGACGAAAAGCAAAAGGGAATGCACCAGAACAGCCTCAAATTTGCAGAAAACAGCAAGTCGGAACGAGGCCGGCGCGTCACCTCCGCCCCAACACCGCCGAATACAACGCCAAATTATGTTTAAATCAGTTTCTAAGTTGAACATCC